GTAACAATGAATTAACAATTTAATTCTAGACCAAGACTCCTAACTCTCCCCAATAGGAGGGTACCGGAGGCCCCTGTAAGTGTATTCTGGAATTGTCGAATTTTTTCAGAAAAATAGTGTTACACACGTTTTTTGAGACAGTCAAAATACTCACTTAACATAGTATGGGTGTTAGTACCCTCTTTTTGGAGAGGGTACTGCAGTGCTCACCTTAATTCTATGTTAAAAATTATCTCGTTAACCATGTCACGAATTTATGCACGTGGTTAATAGATATTAGTCCATGTAAGAGAGGGTTTCAAACCCCTCAATTTGGGGCGGGTGCTGGAGTGTTGTCCAGAGATTTTACATGTGGGCATTGTCGGCAACGGTGGAACCTAGAAAAATAAAAAATGTGATTGTCACTTCATCGTGAGGTGGATGGAATTACCAGTAGCATGCCGCAACATGGCAATATATGATCCAGCTTGTTCTCGATTTCACACTTTAAATAATTTATTTGATGATAGATACTGTTAGGTACTGTTGCATTGAGATAGTACTATTAAATGACTATCACGTGATATACTTGTCTCATGTGACAATCATCTAACAATATTGGCTCGTTGAAACAATACCTAATATCAAACAAAACTCTAAGATAGCGAGCATCCGTGTTGTTAAGGCGGATGTTGGATGACAAATTGAATGAGATGGCCATCCACACCACCTGTGGCGGTTGATTTGGACCATTCAACGTCTTCTAATGATTGATCTTCTCCTCTTCTTTCCGATTTCGGGTCAAATCTCTTTGAAAAAAATGAGCCTTTAATTATAGATCTATAGTATTTGGTTTGAACATTTTCGGAGCTTGCCCCAGGACAGCCTTTCTGCCTTTACCGCCTTAGATTAGGTGGGATTCATTGTCTTTTAATTTAATTATATGAGGATCATATAAAACGTTTTTCAGAAGTGGTATTTATTTTATGTAATTCCAGTCTTACCGCTTGATTTAAGGTTTGCAAAGCAATGAACAATGTTTGGGAAGTGAAATCGAGGGACGTTTTAGTAATTTTAGCATGTTTTTCAAAAACGAAAATACTATCGTGAGGCTCTTTTTACCATACCTCGTACCACACCCCTACAAGCTTGATAAAAATTATGAATTTTTTAAATAATTAAAAATATAAAATTATTATTTACTCATACCACTGTTAAGTTGACCAACTAATCGGAAAGTAGGGTAGATATGTCATCATTACAGCAGAAATTTTCTATTTAAGAATGAATGACTTCAATGTCATTCATATATACAAATAATGAAGTTATTGGTGACAATAATTATTGTCAATTACATACAAAACTACAAAAATCTTCTTTTAATTTAGTGGCTGAGAACAATTCATATTGTTCATCTCAAACCTTTATCCAATATATGGATCAAACTGAAATCAAAATGAGTTGAGAAATATACAAAAAGGTCCACACCATTAGCACGCAGACAATTCACGGGGGAGTCGGTTTGAAATTTCCTGAAACAGAAAAAGAAGGGGAATTAAAAGAACTGAGAATGAAAAGTACGAATATCTAAGTAAAACAGATAATTACGAGAACAACTGCCAAGAGAATGAACTAACACAAATCGTATCTTGTTGCGAATGAGCAAACTATAATTTGAACGAAATACCCATACGGTTCTAGAGGCCAAGTTGCCTACCACATAACACATTCCAGTGATCTTCTCAAGTAATTTTGTAGGAACTAGCATTCGATCTTTATGGTTAAGGGCCCGTTTGGATTTGCATTTGGTTTTCTCTTTTTTTCCCGTGTTTTCTAAAAATCTTGTAACTCTATTGTTTCTATATTCAAGCAAAAATAGTTTTCTCATAATTCTGAAACCAACTTGTGTTGGTTAGGAATTGTTTTCAGAAAGTTCCGCTGAAGACAGTTTTTGGAAACAATTCTCAGAAAGAACGTGTTGTTTCCAAACAGAAAACCGTTCTCAGAAGCAAATCCAAAAAGGCTCTAACCCATCTTATGCTATCATATGCAGGAAAGTCTAGTTCAGGTTTAGGTGAGTCAATCAACTTTATGCTCAGCTCAAACGGGACAAATTTGATTGAAGCAATTTTTGAGACTTTAAGTTGTGAAATCTGAACATTGCTGACTGAACTGCACTATTTCCTGTGCAAGTTTCTGTTTGGCCAGGTTGACCCTCAGCCTTGCGCACCCCTATATGCAGAACTAGACCTCAGAAGTCTCAACTCATTCTATTGAACACGTAATACGCATCTACTTGTATAAAAGGTCATTTAGCTCTCCACTTGTAATGCACGTGAAATGTGAGTTTGGGATCAGCTTGCATCCGCTATATCTTTTTTGCATAGAACAGATACAATAAAAATAGTGGGGCGATGCAGACAGAAAGCGGGATAAGATTTCCCCTATTTTTGACTTACCTAAGAGTACCCAATCCGCATATTTTTGATTGAGAAGACCATGATTATCGGGCATTGAAAGTATAAGTTGCTGCACCAGAATAAATGGTTTCATGGCATGTGGCTCTTGTTTGTATTATATTGTTCAAAGTCCATCCACAGATAAAGCATTCAAAAGTAGTGAGTAAATGCATGCAACAAAAAAGAAACAGCATTTAATTCATCAAACAAGTTATGGGGCACATTTTTAATTAAGTTATGGATATCATCCACCATACACGCCCTAAATTATAAGCATTTTTTCATTCCACTACTATGAAGCAAACACTTGCTGAACATTACATCCATAAATTAGATAATATAGCCTAAATTTTAAATACTTTCAGTTAATAAAATTTTATAATTATCTTTCATAAAAAATTATAGTTGCTGAGAAAGAAATCATTATTTTTCATTTTCGATTGTTAACGTAGTGTTTTTCGATGTTAACCAAAGTGACGGCGGTCAATCCAGAGATTGAATTGGCGACCCTAACCCAGCTGCCTTTTTCAAGCTCATTAATGGTCCTGTACTTAGAACATTGGGTAAAATTACGTCCTAATTGCACGATAATTGCTGCCACCTCTAAAATTCTAAAAGAAAATGTCATCTGGCAAAGCTAATGCTATTAGTTCAACCTAATTCAAGCATAACCCTCCATGTGTTACCAACACATGATTGCGTGTAGATGGTCAAGATAACAAGTAAGAGAAATAAAAATACCTATTCAAACTCATATAGGATGTTGCCTTTTATGCATACCATGCATAGTTAAACATATAAGAATCTCCTACAGATGATCTCTTATTAATAGAGGATGTTCTTAGAGATCATATTGGAGAAAAACCTTGCTGATTTCATTTAATTGTAGTTGTATAATGTGGCTGACCTGGTACCTGAACAAGCACTTCCAGTATCAGACACATCTTCTAGGAATGCTAGTGTCCTTTATCCAAACACGCGTGCATCTAAGGAGCTGTTCGGATGGCTGAGAAGGCAGGATAAGATAAAACTTATCCTGCCTTATCAGCCTTATCCTATGTTCGGTTGGCATGATAACGAATGTGTGTAACAAATCCAGGCAGCCTGATATCCCACTTTATCCCCATTTCACAGGATAATTTTCTCTCACTGGATGACTGAGATAAAATTTATCCTACTTGAACAGTGTTCTCCAAATTTTCGTTTGACAATTTTACCCCCCCCCCCCCCCCCCTGTAACACCCAAGCTCCCCCTTCTCAGACTTGAGCTCCCCTTTGCCGGTCGCTGCCTCGCTGCCTTGGCGAGAACACCCTCCCCAGTCGCCATTCTCAAGCTCCACCTTCTCAAACCCAAGCTCCCCTTCGCCAGTCTCACATCTGCGAGAACCCCCTCCCCAGTCACCATTCCTGATTTCCCCCTTCTCAGACTCGAGCTCCCCTTCGCCGGTTGCAGATCTGCGAGAACCCCCTCCCTGGTTGCCGTTCCCGAGTTCCCCCTTCTCAAACCCAAGCTCCATTTTGCCAATCGCAGATCTGCAAGAACCCCCGAGTTGGTCGCTGCCCGGATTGTCTCAATCATCTCGCCCTTCATGATCGTCTAGCCCGATTGCATCTCCCTCGTTTGCCCTTCGCGATTGTCACTTTCAGCCATGTTTACCGGTCTCCCTTCCCGATCGCCCTTCAATCGCATCTCCCCCTTCCCGTTCATCTCTCCCAATAGCGTCTCCCAGTCACCCTTCCCAACTGGCACCAAGCTCCTGCAACCGGGGAGGCGTGCATAAGGGTAATTTGGTAATCCAAATTTTTATCCAGTTTCTTATCCCAGTTGAAGAAAATTGTACCGAACGTGAGATAAAAATACAAATTACTATGTGGACAAGATTATTTTATCCTATCTTGCCCTATCACACCTTCTCTTTTCAGCCTATCCGAACAGCCCCTAAGGATATAAGCTATGCAGTGAAAGGCTAAGTATAAAAAAATAAAAAATAGTGGTTGATAACTAACCATTAAGCTTGCTACTAAAGACCCCAGGTGTTGCACTAGAGAAAGTGAACTACCCGGTAAATGTTAGTTTGAAGGTTATGTTTCCAAGCATTGGAAACCACTCATTCATTTTCTTCTTGTATGTTCAAAGTTCAGCAGAACTATTTCTGCTAAGAAAATTGAGCTTATTACAACTTAGGATCATATCTAGTCACATTAATAGAAATGATGTCTGAATTAGAAAAATACTTAACAAAACATTTGGTAATGGCAAATAGAACATGAAGTCCACCCATATTATATATATATAACTAGCTTAATTTAAAAAATCTTGACTATTTGTCAAGCCTTTTAAATTCTCAATGAATACATATTAGTAATCAATGCATTACAGTAACTAAATTTCACTGTGTACCATAAGGAAAATATTATTGAATCTGTGGTGCAGAGAAAGGAAACCGCAAGTGAAAAATGGCTGTTGCCATTTAGATAATTGTTTTTATTTCCAATCTTATATGCTGGCTTTCAAGAAAAGTATCAAAAATCTTTCCCATATATAAAAGAAAGATTGGAAAATTAAATGTCAATTTGGTATGAACATACCTCAAACAGTTGGCTTATATTATCAGCTGTCTTTGCTGATGTCTCAATAAAAAACATCCCATTCTTCTCAGCACAATCCATGCCATCCTTCAGAAAGTAAAACATGAATAAGTTCAAGTTAAGCCAGCAAACTAACTGATAGACTGTAAATCCAGATAATATGCATTTTCCTGTCCCTCACTCACTTGAATAGGTACTTCTCGCTGCTCCTGAAGGTCAGCTTTATTACCTACTAAAGCCATGACCAAACCAGGGCTCCCATTTTTTTGTAGTTCCTGTAGAAGTTCACAATACATTAGTCACAATGTATACCTGTTTGCAACTAGTATTTTATGAAAACTCATAGCTTTAAGACAATTCTATTATCCATATATGGATTGAATTTCATCATTCATTGTAGCTAACATTTAACACTCCTAAAAAACAGAATGATGGATTTATTATTTAGAAAAGGGTTGGTACATAGTGCAAATACAATATATAGACTTATCTCTAGCAAATTCAATATCTAAACTTATCTCTATGCTCCTGATTTTATGATGCTCAAGGCAGATTAAAAATCCAGCCTCATAGTTAACAGGAGAATAAACAAGATTACGTTACGTGGATGTCCTGGAGATTTAACAAAATAATGTGGACAGCTCCTCCCTTTTATTCCCAGAATGACTTTGGAACTTTCTTCTACAAACTTTTGGGAATAGATTCTTACTTAACCGAAGGGCCTATTTGGTTTAGCCATTTTCTGTTTTCATTTTCAGTAAAAACAGAAAATGATGCTGAAAATGCATTTGGTGAGTCAATTTCTGTTTTCATTTTCTTAAACTGTTTTCTAAAATGAGCTGATAACTATAAATGATCATTCAATCTAAGTCATGAAGCACGATGATGTCACTCAAAAATTTTTCAACAATGCCTAGAATACCCTCAAATTCCAACTTAGTTTTATAACGTTAAAAAGAAACAGAAGTCCTTATCTCTATCCTGTGTGAAACACAACACAACTAGCAACCCAAACTCTAAATCTCTCTTTCTGCAACACCATCACTGACGTTTCTTCTTCCTCCTTGCTATCGAAATGGAAGGTGGGGACAGAACTAGCCAATGGGACCACAGGTGGGCAGGCAGTTACAGGAAGAATGCTTGAAAATGGGCTTGAGGGATATTTTATGTTGCTGAAGCCCAATCTTGTTTAATGGACTAACTAATTTTAACTAATAAGCCATTAGTTAAAATTAACTTTTTTGTTGAAATTTATTGAGCTCATCGCTTCTTCAGGTGGAGTTCTTAATCTCTCACCTACTTAGTGGTTTTGCTATCACTAATATTGGAGATAGTCAAAAGGCTTCAGGTTGTTCAAGCCATGAGATTGTAATTCCTATTGAAAGTTAAAATGGTAAATGTATCAAGTCTTTGATCAGAATTATATTTAAAGATCTTCTTTGAGGGAGGATCTTTGAGCAATTCCAAATTTCCATGTTTCTCTTCCAAAAGACAAAATCTCTGAGTATCAAAAATCATTTCTTGATTTAAAGTCAACTAACTCACTTGTCAGAACTGACTAATCTTTTTAGAAGGCTCAAAGAATTATTGATACACAAACATAATCAAATTATATTCTTATTAATCCTTTACAGATTCAACATTGGTTTATTCTATTGTCAGAAATTTTTTTAAAAGCAAATTTTTCTTGTCAGAAATATTTGTCTTTACAGAAGGCTCAAAGTATTGTAGACACAAGAAGGTCAATAAACTTTAATTCTTCTTAGTGTTGACTTATTTGTGCAACATTCAACTCAGCTAAGACATTGGCATAAGTTGGACCTATACTCTTGCCAGAGTATGTGGTAGTTGGGTCAACTACCCCTAAGTGAAATTTACAAATAAAGATGACATTGATATATGATTAAGTTGTGGGCCTAACAAGATAAGGTGAGGTAGAATTGAATAGGATGAGATTAATGGCAGGTTGAGTTATATATTCAACTATATTGATGATACTTGAAATTAGTGGGGGAACAAGGAAAAAGTGGACCCAAAAATTTTGACTATTGATATGTGTAAGAGAACTTAGGGCCCATTCCTGCAATTATCAAGGGTAAGAGTGGTTAATCCCTTAGACGTGGGAATTACCAACAGACCGATCCCAATCCACTAATTTATCAAACAATAGGACTAATTATTTTATCCTGGACTACTAATCCAGGAATGTATGCTCCTACAATTTAAATTGCTACTTTAAGCTTCCTAATGCCTAGTTCTTTAAGCACACCCATCTAGATGGTGGGAAACTTTAATTTCCCACAACCAGGTAGAATTATCCTTGCATGCAGAGAGTGTTATCAAGATTCAAGTTCATAATGCTCAGACTGCATTGGACTAATACTTACCAAAGCCCCAAGGCCTCCTGTCATGTACATAAAGAAGGACCACAAAAATTAAATAAAGACAGGGCTATTCCAATCTATGGAAATCATACCTTGACCCAATACTGAGCTTTGGCAAATGATTCAGAACTCGTTATATCATACACAATAACTGCAACTGCAGCTCCCGGTAATAAAGGGGAGTCAATGCATCATACCTGCATGATAGAAATTAGATGTTTACACACACACACCAAACAAACTTCATGCAGTAGGGAAGGAAAGTGATTTTTGGTCATAATATACCTCTCTTGACCTGAAGTATCCCATATTTCAAACTTAAGCGTCGTAGAATCTTGCAAGAGAATTGTTTGTGATATAAATGAAGCACCAACCGTAACCTTAAATTTAAAAATAATAACTAAATAAATTTGGTTGATAAATGAAAGCAAATAAATCATAAACTTACTAGAGTAGTCAATTACAAATCAAAACTCAAAATGGAAGTGATATGCACAGTTTACATCAAAAATGAAGAAGGCACTAAAATATTACACAGCTTTGCGCCAAAAAAAAAACAAAAACATTTTTGAAGCAATGATACATCCTTACCTTTGATGCTGGATCAAACTGATCGCGCATAAAGCGAATAACAATACAGCTTTTTCCAACGCCAGAATCCCCTAAAAGCACTAACTGCAGACAATGATGGTCTATGATAAAAGCAAAGATGAACCACATTCAAGGGAGGACTAAAAAAAGGAAGCAGAATATAATGAACAAATCTCAATTGAAGCAGTTGAAAGCATAATACACAAAATTTCTTTTAATAGACCTTTGTTTGAGCATTCTCTCAATAAATTTGTCTACCCATCTGGAGCCTAGTCCTTCACATAAATGAACAAGCCTCTCAATGCAAAGTCACCAAAAATCTAAGCTTGTTACTTGTTCAAACTAAATCTTTTTGAATTAACTTAAAGCTTCTTTCTCCTTTAAAAAAATTCAGCATATTCCTCAAATTTTCAGAAAATTATTTCTCTTGGCTTAGTACATAAAGCTAACCCCTATCTCCCAGAGTTTCCACTTAGGTCTTCCTAATTCTTGAACCCTCAATTCTCCTACAAAATATCTGGCATCTTCTAATGTCTTCTTTTGGCATAAAACTTTCAGCATCTTACATTTGGTTTGTATTTAGGTATCTAACCAAATTTATGTTCCTGAATTCATCCCCTGATCAGCCACTTAGCCCTGGAAAGGGGGGGGGGGGGGGGGGGGGGGGGGGTGGGGTTTCTTACTTCTTCAAGGTATCTAATACTCAACAACCAAATTTATGTTCCTAAATTCATCCCTTCATCAACCATTTAGCAGCGGGTCTCTTCCCCAACCCCGCCCCTTCCCTCTCCCCGTGCCACGCAAATGCATTTCAATATATGTTAGTGCCACAAAATTGAAAATCCTAGATATGTATACCAATGACCGAGACCCTAAAAAACAAAAAAGCAGTTTACCTTTAGTCGCACGTTTTTCACATCAGGCTCGCCATTCTGGGGAATAAGTCCTCTATTGCGCCCCGAAACCCTCCTGCCTGCGAGGAAAAATCCCCAGTTAATCAAACGAATAAGCAATTCATAAAAAGATCGCAAATCAAGGCTTCGTATTGACAAGATTGATAATCGAGAAAAAGTCAAGCTAAAACGCTCATCCGAAGAAGAATCAATTAGACATTAATTTAATCTCCCTCAGCTCGTAAAATGAAAGAACTTGACAAAATAGAATGATGATCGGAATATCTGTCCCGCGATTGAAAACTATCAAACCTAGAAGTCGACAAAGTCAGGAAAATTACGGTAAACAGAGGAGGCGCAGCCCATGCTCGAGGGTTTAGCGCAGAGAGTGGGCTGATAGAGGTGGAAACTTCGATAATTTGATTCGGGCGTGCACACGAGAGACAGACACAGGCTATCCGTTTGTCAATCATACTCGACCGTTATAGCGAACAGAGAAAATCACAAAATATTTGTAATTTACTTCCACGTGTCAGTTCTAATGTTATGAGAAATTGATTTTTATATTTATTTTTTTGAGTCTGGAAGTTTTAAATTGACGAGTGATCATAAAATCACGTATTATTTTAAATTTTTTTTCTATCATTTTATATAATTTTTTCTGTTTATGATAGCGATAATAAAATAGAATTTTTGTTTTTTTTTGTGTGTGTGTGTGTTGGGGGTGGGGGGGCCTAAGCCGTTATATGATTTGTTAGGCGATGCTTTCTTTTTATAAAATTATATTTTAATCTTCTAAACTTTTTGTTTGATATCACTTTAACTTATTAAATTTTAAATTATTACAATTGAGTTCATATTATGTTTTACAAAGTATTAGGAATAGTAAAAAACATGGCACGATTCAAATAAGAGTAAAAAAAGCTATCTTCTTTCTAGATTTATATAATACTTAATTTTATTCTTATTATAATAAAATACTTTATTTATTTACTAACTGTTAATTAATGCATACTTAGTATTTTGTTAAAAATAATAAAAATAACTCAATTTCATATGTTTGAATTATTTATGAGATTAAAAAATTAGAATATTATTTTATTTACTTAAAAAATTTAAATTTTTTAAAAATTACAAATTTATCTTTTTGATAATAAAATTTTATTGTTTTTAAAAATCTTTTTTCATGATATTTTAATTTTATTTAATTTTTTTTAATTTATATGATACGTAACTCTTTTTTTTAACTTAAATGATACTCAACTAATTTTTATTTCAACATTTATAATAAAATAAAATTATTTAAAAATTAAAAATAATGAAATTAAACTATCATAGTTAGAATTTTATTTTTGAAATTAAAAATAAGAAACTTCCAAAAATTAAGTCAACCAAATAAAATTTTAATTTTTAATTATTTGGATAATCAAATTATGTAAAATTTGGTTACTTTCACATCTTTTTTAACAAAACTGTTAAGTAATTGTTAGCCAAATGTTATTCAAAGGAGAAAAGTATTTTTTCATTATAAGAATTGGATTAATTGTCATCTAAGTAAATGTAGAAGGTGAGAAGCATTTTTTATCCTTAAAATAAAAATAAGGGCATTCAATGATTAAGAAAACGGACCGAACCAATCAATTCAACTGAGTTAACCGATAATAGGCCATGATTTCAATCTGGTTGTATGATTGAAATCTATTATTAATTGAATTGATGTCAATCGGTGCCATCAATAAATAACCAGAAAAATCGGCCAATCGGTTGACAAGTTGGACTAGTTTTTTTCTTTGAAGGAAGGGTTGAAGACGAATAAAGGAGCTCCATTTCTTCTTCAACTTTCAATCTGATAAAACCCATTTCATTGCTTTGCAAATCAGTTGGGAAGAAACTCTAGTCCCTATTCAGAACTTCATTGTCGTTGCTTTTTTCGTTTGAGTTGCGGCGAGCTTGTGGATTTGTGAGTTATGAATGGTTTGTGCGCCCGCTTTTCCATTGCTAATGCATTAATCAAGACTTGTTTTTGTCATCTATGCATGAAACCACCAATAGCAGAGAAGATCCTCGTCAGTATTTTTCTTCATTAATTGAGAAAATGACCCATATAATAATGATTTTGGAAGTATTGAAAAGTGATTAAATTCAAAAAAGTCTTTTGACTCTTAAAAAGACTAGTCCTATTTTTGCTGCTAGGATTTGCCATATCCACCAAATGCCATTGAAGTTAGCCAGCTTAATGTAATTATTCAATAGGTCCTTGAACATTTTTTTCTCACTTAAATAATTCAGTCCTATACATTCAAGACACATAACTGTTGGGTAAACCCTTTTTTTAGGTTTTTTGCAGTTTTCATATTTCTAATATTCTTTATAATACATAAATTTATTAATATAATATTAAATATAATTATCATCCACTAGTTGAATTAGTGTTAAACCATTACTAGAAGTAGAAACCAATAAGGCCACCATTTCTATCACTTATCCTATTTTGTAAACAATGCTTTTTTATCCTATTTTTGAATGGAAAAAACCCTAACCTCTTTTTGCTTTGATCTCTCTCTTTGTTTGCAGCTTAGTTGTTTAGATGATGAGTTAAGGGTATGGCAAAAACTAACTTAAATTAATCTTCATAATCAATTTTACCGATAATTTTGGAGTATAGTTTGATTAGATTTTAGATTTTGGGCATAAAAATTATCCAAAATCAAACTACAAACTAAATTAAGTGGATTATTGATGAATCAAAATGTATATTTTACAAATAAGAATAGCCCTGATTCATTAAAATGGATGAATTTCCAATGAAAACAACATACAATGCCTCCCAATATGCTCAGTTGTATATAGATAAGATTGTGAGACTTCACAGAATACCTATATTTATCATCTCAAATCGAGGATCTCAGTTTACCTCTAAGTTTTGAAAAGCCTTTCGTAAGGCTCTAGGAACTTGATTTGACTTAAGCACGGCTTTTCACCCTCATGCATACATGTTAATCTCAAATTTTCATATTGATTTTACTAATGATAAAACAAATTAAATTTTTATATGTATATATTTATGATGGATAATGTAAATAAATTATATTGTTAAGTTTATTATTTGAAGATACATACACTGCATGTTGTGCTACAAAGTGAAAATTCAAATTAAAAATGCATGTAGTAAATTAATCACATTTTATTATATAAAACTTTAAAAATAGTAAAATAAATTTTATTTGAAACATATTCAAATACATTTATTTTGATATATAATTTTATCTCATATATTATTCTATATTAAAACAGTTTTTTATATCAATTTTGTATATTATATTTTAAAAATGTCAATGTTGAAATATGTACCATATGAATTTCAAATAATAAATTACATATTATGTTGCTATTAAAATTCTAATTTTATTTTATTTACAAAATAGACATGCCAAGTTTTAAATTGATTTATTACATGCATGTTTTGCATATATAATTGAGAAGATACAATTTTTTTAAAATCAATCATTCTACTGTGTCACGTTGTCAATAGACAGAATAAGTATACTATAGTATTTTAGTTACAACTTAAAACATAAAAATCCAATTTATACAAATGTAAGATAATTTTGAAATTGACTAATAAATTCTGATATAAGCAATTTTTCAGTGTGATATGTTCTTGAAAAATAGATTATTTCTCTCAAATAGCTAGTTATTATCCAATGTTTCTGTTTTTTTTTAAATAGACTCATTTTAGAGTATTCAAAATTTTTTTCAAGATTTTTTGAACATTGAAAGCTATTTTTTAAAAATTTGTTAAACGAGTCTATAAGCTATTCTTGCTAACAAAAGGCTAAATTTATCTTCTTCCATCTCACAAAAGGCTAAGAGTTGTCCAACGTCTATCTAACATCTCTTTGATGATTTTACCTATAAAAGAAATATAAATTAAAGGGAGAAGTATCCAAGAATTGTAACACCCAAAACCAAATATTTCTTTGAAATTTTTTTAACCACTTTTGCTTGAGTTTAAATTTATTTAAAGGGAATTTTGAAGAGTTTAGAAAGAAGGGAAGTGTATTGGAAGTTTTAGGAGAAAGCAAGTTTTTATTAAAAAAAAAAAATTATTGTAGTGTGGTTACTGTAATAGCGTGCCGTAGCGCACTATAGCACGCTACATAGTAGAATTTGGGCACTATAACGCGCCAAAGCGCGATATAGCAT